AATACTTTTCCAGTAGTGGAGATAGAATCTACACCCCCTGGCGCAGGAGGCAGGTACACTACCCACTACGCCATTCGGTCGTCAATCTGAACGAAGCTGTTAAAGTTGTCGTTTTCCGTTTATCAGAACACGTACCAAAAGTCTCATTAACGAAGCGAACCACAGGCGGACTAAGGGCAAAGTTTACGCAAAACAACAAACTTCGAATATTTAAATACACAACTAGTCATAATTACTGCAACGAGACGAATTTCGTAACATCGTAAACTCGCACAGTGCCGTATTATGCACGAAACGAGAGTAATTACATCTAGATACAAACTTTAATCGGTTTCGTGTCGGATAGCGGTAACCGTTATCGCGTCACGATAGAAAACCGTTTAACCGGCAACTATTCCGAGTTACTCAGGAGCGAGATGCTGGCTAGCTGTGGCTTTCAACAAGCGTCATCTGTTACGAGATACCACGGTGAATGGCAGCGCTTAGGCAAAGCCATAAACGTCTATTCTGCCTTTGCTATACGTTACGACAGAGCTTTGGTCGAGTAATATTTAAAGACATTATATATTTTGTATTTATTGTATTTTTCACAGTGATAGCTCAGTGTCAGGGCAAACGGGTAAGTACTCGGGCGGAAAAACTGCATTTTTAGTAATTAGTAATCATCATCATTGGCAGCCGTAAGACGTGCACAGTTGAGCATAGGCCTCTCCCATAGAACGCCACATCAAACGACACTTTGCCATTTGCATCCACCAGTTGCCCGCGACTCTTACGATGTCGTCGGTCCATCTAGAGGAAGGCTACGTATACCGGTTCATCACTCGAGAACTTTTATTATCCATCGATCGGTCGTCAGATCTTCGAGCGATATGGCCTGCCCATTGACATTCCAAATGCAAAAATCCCAAAAAAAAAATAGTAAAAAAAAACATATTTCGATAATATGTTAATTAGCGTAAGAACTATGCCATAATATCATCTGTACAAAGGAGGCCATTGCCCAGCTGTGGGAAATATGTAGATTTTTACTTTCCTTCTTTTTACTTTGGTAATTGTTCATTGAGCACTTGTTTAACCCATACTCCATTAAATTATAATGGAGACTGGTTTCACCATTTTATTTTTAAAAAAATATGTGGTCCATAGGATAAAACTATACTGTATAATGTAAAGTAGGTTCACCAACAAAATTATAGATAGACTAACTAACCTCGAACTGATAACATTTAATTTAAAATCATTCAAGTATCATCTGATTACAATTAATTTATTATGGTCTATGAAATTACTATAACTTCCGTTATGAGCAAAAAGGTCATATTTTATCATGCCATAGCCAGAGCAATTAGCCAAACCATCTGAAGTGAGAAATAATAAAGACATTGCAAAAATTGTAATCACATCACTGAGACAACCAAAAATCTTTCCTTTTTATCCTTATGCCAGAACCATTTTTTATTATTATAATATTGGGTATTATATCAACAAACATATTACACAAACATATTTAACTTACACAAAAATAGTCTAAACAGAAAGTTTTAATTATCAAGACATTAAAGTAGCACTTTAATACTATTCCAACAACTTCATTCATATGGTTTATAACTCTATTGAACAGCATATTACTTATTATATCAATTAAAAATTAAGAAAAATCAAACATACTGAAACTTCACAAGAGAAAAATTAAAAATATACATAAACAACAAAAGCTCAAGGTTTATTGCTGTATTTACACAATTTTTACAAGAATACTAATTTTGTAACTGGATTATTGACATTATTAAAAGTTAATTGAAAGGAAAGCATTTTATGTACATTTATCAAAATCTTGGTATCAGCTCAAAAAAAAAATTATAGTAGTAATAAAACTGTTTAGTTTATACAAAGGGACTCCTTTGATCTTATGTATTTTGAATGCTCTTACAAATTTATTAAAAAATCAATGCTTTTATAAAACTTTTTTACAATAACTTAGAAGTATGGAACAATCTGCTTTTCAAAACAAGGTAAATTACATTAATTGAAGACATAGGCATGAACAATCTATGAAAGATTACTATATTCTTTGAAAGGCTTTGAACTAATATTGATTTAGTTTGAAAAGGTGGAACTCTAAAGAATATCAAAGAAACAGATCAAAATATAAAATATTTGACGTGTGAATATGTAGGTACAATGAAACTAGTTATGTAGGAACAAATGAATGAGATATATATCTTAATCATTCACATACGACGCACAGAATAAGCAATATAAACAAACGACAGCCATTTGTTTCGCACTTTATTTATTTGTATTATTTAAAAATGGGTCAGAGACATAACGAGGCGAGATTCAACAGGCTTTAAAATTTATTTGTGAACGTGGGGAGCATCGTCATCTTATTGTTCATCTTTGAACTAAACTATTTCCCGCCTGTCATGCCGATCCTAATGACCGAGCCATGTCAATCACAATAATTGACAGACTCTGGCGTCCGGTTATTTTCGTACTTACGTCGGGGAGCGGCCTAAAAACTTATGTCCGATGCTCTCAACTCTCAAGCAATACAATAATATAACTAATTTATTTGTCACCTGTCAATAACGTAACCTCAAACTTCAAGAGATCAACAATGGAACGTGCAGGTGACAATACGGAATAAGGGATAAAATAATAATTATCTATTTTTCCCGTATTATGGTTAACCGGCCAACATAATGTCTACATCGATGCACATTATATTTATGAAGGAAAACATGAAGATGGTTTCCAAACACGGCCATTTTCGTACAAGTGCATATAGGGGGATGACAATTCGAAGATAAGAGCATCACTCACCCTTTCTACGTCAAGGTCGGTCCCAGTGCACAGTCTCTTGCCACTACTACCGTTGTAAGCCATGTTACACCACAATACAAACACAAATCACACCGTAACGCGTTTAGGTAACGACGAGAGCGAGTAATCCAGCTTCTAAAGCGGTCGCGGGCAGACTGATTGAACGAATGTATTACAGTAACGCGAACGAACGACGAGCATCAACGCGGCGCGAAATGGCACATAGACAACAGTAACCAAAGAGTAAATAATCATGACAACAACGGAATGAACAGTGCCAATTGCCAACAGATTATTATGTTACCAGATGTTATGATTATAACGCTTTAACCTACCTTAGAGCGAATATTTCTTAATAGAGTTTTCTATCCCACTAGAACCTATGAAATGAAATGAACTCTAACGTTACGTTAATGAATGATCAAATAACAATTCATTTGTACGTAATGTTTAGACGGTATAATATATTTTTATCCGATTAATCGCATCGCACATAACTTATTTAAATAAATATTTTCTTAATACTCTCTTCTTTCATATTCTATACCATCATATTTGTGAATCTAAGCGCTTCATTCAGACTTCCTTAAAAAAATATTTTTTTTGCAAAATATTGCTAAGCGAGCAGACGGTTAACTTGATGTTAAGTGAATACCGCCGCCCATTGACATCTGCTACAACCGAGGGTTCCAGATGCGTTGACAACCTTTTGAAAATTGGGCTCCAGCTACCTCAATCACCAAACGAAACACGAAAGTTTTATACTTCCACTTTACGCCGGTTTTCTGTGAGGTCGTGGTACTTACTACTTACCCGGACGAGCCTGCCCAAACGTGCAATAGCCGAGGCTGCTGCATGGCCCTACCACCGTTAATTACGTATGTGCCAATCCCACTATTATTTATATATGATATTTTTAGACATCCCAGACAGGAAAACTGATTTAGAACAATCAATTTTCATCGAAGTAACTTAAAAACGATTGATAATTTTAATAACATCTTAATAATTAAAAAAAAAATGGCACCAAGTTATATCATACGAGATTGAACCAATAGTTAAGGGATCGTTGTCCTTTTTAACTTTTGAAATAAAAACATGAACCAAATTTTAATCTGTGATTTCAGCGATGACAATAAAACAATAAGAATCTGTAGCGGTCCTGTACTCTGTAATTTTTAGATAACACTATCAGCTACGTAATTAATATTATTATATTATTAATTAGAATGCTGAACAATTACTAAGTAACCAGCTCTAGTATAAAGAACAGTCATATAAAAGTAATAAATAAATTGGACCTATCATTCTAAATATTCATTAACAGTTTAGATGTTTATTTTGTCGACTGATTAATTATAGTAAACTAAGTCTTCACTGCAATAACTTATTTAGAATTAAACTGATTACTTATGTTTCACAAAAATAGCTTTATAAAACCTTGCACAATTACTGATGTCGTGCAGATTCGTACCTAATAATGAGTACTAACTGCGTTATTGCCGTATACACGAAAATCGCCAAAACATGACGGGTTTTAATATATGGTTCAAATCGGTTTACGGTGGTAGGGCCACGCAGCAGCCTCGGCTGTTGCACGAATGGGCAGGCCCGTCCGGGTAAGTACCACGACCTCACAGAAGACCAGCGTAAAGTGGAAGTATGAGAAATACTTTCGCGTTTCATCTGGTGAGTGAGGTAGCCGGAGCCCAATTTTCAAAAGGTTTACAACCTTCTGTAACCCTCGGGAGTGGCAGATGTCCATGGGTGGCGGTATTCACTTAACATCAGGTGAACCGTCTGCTCGTTTGACAACTTTTCGCATAAAAAAATAAATAAATCTTCAATTAAATATGGTTTTAATACTTATGTGTTTTTATCTCTTAGGGATATCATTATTGCTCAAGTAATTGAAATATTATGTTATTTTATTACCACTAAAACTAAAACACTTTTTGGTATATATGGTGAAGTTTAAACTGTGAAACTAACATCTCTATTTGAATGGTATTCAAATAAAATAATGGCCAAATCAATAATTGTCAATTCTTATTCTATATTTTTACATTTAATTAAATATCACAAACAGCATAGTACCCTATGCATCATTTGTAAGCTGTACAGTACTTTATTATAAAATATTCTTATGAATATCATAAAAATATCTCCTAATGTGGTGCAGGTTTGTGACCATCTACATAGAAATTTCTAGTTGCTTTCGGTAAGCGAAGTTCCATTCCTTCTAAATCTTTTGTCAATACTATCTGGCAACCTGCAATACAAATTTTCATTATTTTCCACAATTGTTAATAAACACATGTACATATAACGTATGTACATTTTTTTCCATGTTTGAGACATTGTAATCTATAAATTGTTTAAACAAGGTTATCAATAATACATATAATAATGAACTGACCTAATCTAGAGTTTTCTTTGAGGAATGGTGCCATGTCCAATAAGTCATCTTCTTTCTCTTCAGACAATGGTAGTTTGTCAAAATACTCCTGTTGCACATAAACATGACATGTTGTGCAAGCTAGTGATGCTTCACATGCTCCTTAAAATATAGTTTTTATAATTTTTTTTCTTAAGACCCATTCAAATGGTAATAATTCCTATGACAGTTTATATCAACATAATAATCATGCATCCATTGTACACCTAGGCTCAGGACAACTATATCTTGTCCTATTTTGGAATTGATCCACAAAAATAGCTATTGTGCCATTCAAACAAAAGGCATGTAATAATACTAGCTGACCCGGCAAACATTGTTTTGCCATATAAAAAATGTTAGCGGTGGACCACCCTTAACATTTAGGGGGATGTAAAATAGATGTTGGCCGACATGAACACAAAATTTTACGAAAATCGGTGGAGCCATTTTGGAGGAGATCAATTACAAACAGCGCGACAGGAGAACTTTATATATTAGATTTAAGTTATTCTTATTGGTCTATTTTTTAAGGAAAAGATCTTAACAAATTTTCAAAAAACAGCTAACTGAGGTGACATGAAACACTATTTTTTATTTACTACAGTGTGCATTGTATGTACTTATGGTCAGTATGTGTAGTGTATTAGCATGAATATCAAATAGTTTAAAGCAAGTGGACATCAAAAACTGCTACCCATCCTTGATCATAGGGGCTATATGCAGAATTGTTATGACTTAATGTTATAGATAATTGTTTACAGTAGTGGCACACTTGTTTTTGTATACAAATATTTTTAATCAATAGAAAAAAAAACAGAACAATAATCTCAATATATATTATCTACTTTGTTTTTTATTCCATTTTTAAGTAATGTTTGGAGTCTACTGTTGCTGTTTCATAAAATGCATTGAGATTGTTGTTGAAGATAAGCCATTTAGTTCAGTGGCTAGAGCGTTGGGTGCAAATCCTGTAAGAGGCAGGTTCAAATCCATGCAATGGCGAAAAACTTCATCCAATCTTCTACAAATTTTTAAATTTCATCTTCAGTACAGAGTATAGCACTATAACAAATAATGTACTTAGACAAAATCAAAAAAATCACAAATTTAAAATTTGCAACAACCAAATAAAACTCCTCAAACTATAAATGGTTTTGGAGTTTACAATCGATTAAAAGTATTACTAATAAAGTTGTGTTTTTTGATAATCAATAAGTAAGTGTAAATATTTATTAACGATATTTGAATTTTAATATAGTACTTTCTATAGTAATATAGAAAACTCCTATTGTAATAGTTCACAAATTAAAAATAATATTATAGTAGTATGCTATTGCAAACAATTACATTTTATACCACATACTTATGTATGTTGTTAAGATGCCATCCTCTTTGTTCTTATTGCTTTAATTACTGTAACCTATTTATACTATTCGAACAAAGCGTGTAAATGTGTGCTGTCACTGTTTAAAATAGTACCATAATACATAGTATGTTCGGTGATTTTGTATACATATAAAATATATTTGGAGGAGTTTAAAAATTTATGTGTTTGTGAACAAACCTTCCATTTCAATTCCATATCTGTGAGCCAAATAAAGCACATTGTCACCGACTTTTCCTCTTACACTGGTCTTTTTGCCATCTTTATCAACATAGACTATGTTCACCCTGATAAATTAAAAACATTACTCATACAAACTCAAATTGCATATTATTTCCATACAGTTAGCAAAACTGTATTGTAAGATTTTCATAATTTTATAGGGCATAATTAGGAGGATATTATATGTTTGTAATCTTCAGAATACGAAGTTTACAACAATTTCCTTTTTAGAAAATTGCACAATGTTATCGCACCATTATACGACTACTTACACTTCATCTTCAGATTTCGGATCTTGCCATTCGTATTCCCCATGCATTAAGCCTATGTTAAGAAACGTAAAACTTTAGTAATCATTTATCAGTATATTGTGAACAATAATTCCCACATCGTTACCTGTAGTCACGTGAATACGTCTAACTGTGGAACTACATGAGGTCTGTAAGCACCTCAATGTTCGCGCTGCAACAAGAAATTTCAGAGATTGAAGCATTGTGTCATTAAATATGTCACATATTTATTTGCCATCAATTATGTGTTAAGTTTTATTTTATTTGAACAGAGGTTATAAACTTCAAAATCACCTCTATGACAACTTGACAACTATGCTCTGTCAGTGTCGCTGTCGAGTCGATTACGTTAGGTGAAGATGATAATTTTGACAGGCCACGTTTTGAATGATTTTCTTCGTTCCTATGTTCCTCGCCATATAAATTATTATTCTCTTTTAAACTTCTCAATATTTTCTTCTGTTTATGTTTTGTGTGATTTTATTACTTCAAATAATATTAAGTTGTTATTGTTTGTCCCTTGTTACTAACCCTTGACCTAACTAATCTTGTTTTACACTCGGTGTGTCTTTTGATTTAGGTGAATCAGCAGACAATGGCAAAATAATAAATATTAAATATGTCGTATCACACTACTATATAGTGCAGCGTTACTATAATATCACTTAATTTATTTAATTGTGTTGAATAATAACTAGCAGTGTTTGAGGTAAACAATGTTCATTGGTATATTCATTCAAACCCACCAAAAAAGAAGACAGATCACGGTAGATTAGGAATAGGTAGTGTATAATGGTTAATAAATCTATTCAAGTATTCATGATTATTGTAAAAGAAATTTGCACTGGTAGTTTCATTTATTTATTTAAAACTTTATGCACAAAAAATATCTGGACAGGGGCATTTTCTGCCAACCTTGTGGGTGATTCAGGAAAGTTGGGTTGAGTAAACAAATAAAATAAAATAATGAATAACAAGATACAACCAATACGTATAAATTAGAGACTACTTGCATTATAACTTACTGTGAAGGAAAACTGAATACAAAACTACACTAACATATAATAAACCAACTTACAAATATAATAATATATACAAAAAGATAAAAATACGTGCATACAAACATATACGAATATATTTGTACACATACGTAGATAGATATACATACTCCTTTATAGTAAAGTTAAGTCTATACATGTCCCATTGATGGGCCAAAGCCTCTTCTGTACAGAAGGTGACATAGTCCACATTGTGGCCCCACTGCGGATTGGCGGACTTCACATTTCTATATTTTTTGTCATTATTTCGAAAATATGCAGGTTTTCACATGATGTTTTCCTTCACCGCAGAGGACGTGATAAATCAGCACTTAAACTTATCAATTTCATTGGTCCCGGCAGCGGGAATCATACTCATGATACTCGAGTACATTGAATTAAAGGCGAGCGCCCTGACACTGAACTATCACGGCTTAAACGATCGTTTGCTCACAATGTAATTGTGGACAGGGTACTGTAAATTAAGTATCATTTAAAGTGTCGATTTAATGAACTGTTCCGTATATACCACAGGGCACAGGGCCGGTTTAAGAATGGAAAAATTTGTGAAAAGTATTTGAATACTTGCAAAACAGACACTGGCGTATGTTATTATGGGACGTTTACACATGCTGTTCATGAATGAATTTTGCATCTTAGCTAGATATTACGTACTTTAACTTAGTGACTACAGTTCCATAACACCAAGATAATTGGCCTTGCTTTCCCACGGAATGGGATTGTGGCGATTCATTTACTATAGCGCCACTTTTATCTTATGACATCAAAGGACAATTTAACATGATCGTCTTACTTTTCTCGGAGTTGACCTCTGTCCTCCAAATTCTTAACCATTTGCCTCGGGCGTTTAGGGTCTTTTGTAAGCCATTGCGGACTTTCGATACGGGTTTTGTTCTGGTCACTCGCCTCTAACATCTAAGGCTGTGTCATCAGCATATAGCGCGACTATAGAGGTCCTAAAAAATTAATTGCTGCACAGGGAATATTTTAAGGTTGAAAAATGTGCTAATATTTGCAGAACAACCAATCTCACGCAGCGAGGGCGGGATGGCACCGACAAGTCTAAATTGAAATCAACAGTTCGAAAAGTAGACTTCCAAATTTTAACAAGTCTCTTTGGCATTCTAAGATTTTAGCCAGTGTGTTTTGTCTCTTTTGACTCTTTACAAAATATTCTAGCAACACATATTTTTAAATGTCAACGATGGTAGAGAAAGAAAAACGGCAAATGTCAATATTATTTTAACATTCACAACCATATTGTCCATTTTTATTAAAGATTTGTATTTATGTTGGTATTGATTATTTTTAAAAGCGCATAGCATAGTCACAGACAAATGAGGATGAATACAGTATGTTAACGTTATTAAATTTATCATGCAGCCGCAATCTGTATGATTGTGAATTTTAATATTAGGATTTTTTAGTGATAAGTTGGTAAGTTTTATGACCAAATGACGTGTATATCATAATTTTAAGGTCTTTATTTTAAAGCTTTACACCAATTAAACACGTAAATCGTACAAATTTTTATTCATGTCTAAATTGATTTATTGGCAAATTAACGATGGTCTTTTGAGTGTTAATTTTAAATTTAAGTTATATTTTATAAAGAAATTATTTAAAAGTTACGAGCAATATCAAACAAAACCATATTTTCGATAGAAACACAATTTAAATCCAGTTTTTTTTTATAATTTATGATATATTTTTATCATTATGGAAGGAAAGCTATTAAATATATTGAAAAACATGATAATTTTGACATTGCCACCAAGGATATTATATACAAATAAATTAAAACATTGTTGATTGTCACTCACTTTTAAACTTACAAATTACTTAAAAATCACTTTGAAAGTTACTAAAGAAAATGATTTTATTGTTTTGATATTCTTTACATAAAAATATATAAATACATATTAAATATTCATAAAATTATTCTCTTCATCAATTCATTATAAAAGCTAGGCAAAAATAAAATACAAAAAAAATAAAATACAAGATTCTTGATATTTGAAACCATTTGTTTCTTTACCATTATTGTGTCATTAGCGATATCATAAGGACCGCCAACTGCCTTAGAAGAAAATGAGGTAAAAATTCCGAACAGTAAGTCTCGTTTTTCAAGCTAGAAAAAAATTTTTATCGATAGAGAAATGTTAATAATTAAATATTACATACATGAAAACCAAGGCAAACACTTACTTTTAATAAAAAAAAAATATTTAAAATTTTAATTTATTTTATTAATTTTAATATATTAATTTAAATTTATTTTCACTAAATAAATCCGCCATTTTGTGTTTGACAACATGTATAAATTTACGAATTCACACACTTTTCCAAATAATAACCTTCGCATTATTAAAAAAGAGTCTAAAAATACTAAAAGTACTGTTACACTAAAGTTTTCTGGGTGGTCATAAAAAAAGAACCTAACAACGAAGGCTAATACATGTTCATGAAGTAGAAACTTGTGTTTTTGTGATATATCTGTGTATTTGTGTCTTCTTACAACGTAAAAAGTGAAAACGTAAGTTTTTAACTTAAAATAATAGTCTATAATGAATAATGGACGCACAGTAATGACGGATTTCAGTTGTATGAAATTTAAAAACTTTGTTAATTTTTTCCTCATAATCTAGTGGTTTTCATTGATTCTAACTTATATGATATTTAGTTATTAACATTTCTCTATAGATTAAAATTTTTTTCTAGCTTGGAAAACGAGACGTACTATTCGGAATATTAGCCGAAAATGATTTTATGTATGTTTTAATACATTATTTAGATGTTTCCATAAGTGCTTGCAAAGAAACATTTATTATAGGTAAATGGTATGTGAATTAATTAAGTCTTGACATAAGAAGAAGACTTTCGGGATATTAATTAATATTTATATTATTTTTTCAGTCAGGTTGTATATATCCACAATGTCTGATGGGCCAAATGGTGCCGAAGATCTATCAATAGATAGAAAAGATCCCACATCTTTCTTGCCAGAAGAGCCAATGTCATATGAAATAAAAGTAAAAAAAAAGAAGAAAAAGAAACACAAACAGGTGGACCCATTTAAAGATTTAGAAGAGAAGATTGCACTGCCAACGGATATAGCACTTGATCCAGAGGTTAATATAAAAGTTGAGAGTATTGAAGTAGAGTTGGATCTTAATGATGTAAGTTGTTGTGTCTTATAATACTAACAGGATTTTATTTGATGTTCTTCTCACTCTGTAAACCTCAAATTGAAGATAAGGGAGAAGTATGTAGTACCATTATTTATTGAATGTTTTTAAAACAAATTTTATTAGTCATAAAACATGTTCCTGCCAGAAATGGACATCTTCACCAACAATGTTGAGAATTATGATAAAAATTTTATTACACATACTGATGACTCTTGGTTTTAGTGGTTAAACATTAACTATTACCTTGACCATTTAAACCAGTCATTATAAGCCTCTGAAAGTAGTGTCCACAGTCCACATCTCAATGAGAATGAAAGAGTCACTCTTTTTCTTAAAATATGAATGGCCTTTCAAAACATTTGCTTTATTTTTATTGCATTAATAAAGTGTTGGAATTTATTGTTATAGTATCTGAAAAAATAATTGAATTCAATACCAAAAATTGTATAATTTCAGTACACAATTGACAACACCTTGACAGTGGATGGGCCACAGAGCGAGGAAAGCCAGGAGCCTGTGGTGAAACTGGAGGAACAGAGTCGTGAAGCGGTTATCTTAACTTTCGAGAGTGTTGTCAGTGATAAAAAGGTTTTCGAATGCACTCGGAGTGCCCCTGGCGCTATGGAGCCGGTGCATATGTGTAAAGTGTGCCATCTAGTATTCCAATCGTCGAAAACCCTAAAGACTCACCAGAAGAGGAAGCACAAAGTATTTAGACGTTCGTTTAAGCACATCTGCGACCATTGCGGCATGTCGTACGAGAGAAAGAATAGTCTGATGGCCCACATAAGGAGGAAACACGCTCCGAACTCCATGCCGGATGATAGAGAGGAAAGGACATGCGATATCTGCGCGCTGGTGTTCAAGGGTATGACCAGGTTGAGGATGCATATGAGACGGAAGCACGGCTCCTTCGAGGAGTCATTCCAGCACGTCTGCAAAGAGTGCGGCCTGACGTACGACAAGTACAGGAGTCTGATAGTCCACATACAGCGGAAGCACACCACAGACCGGAAGCCCGTAGCCAACCAGTGGTTCAAATGCCCCTTCTGCCCGAAAGCGTTCACCAAAAGGGAGACTTATGCCAGGCACGTGCAGAGGAAGCACCGCGTCTCAGACGAGGACAGCGTCAAGCGCGAGGACGTGGACCAGGGCCTTCTGGAAAGCTGCAAGAACGAAGAGACCGGCGAAATATCCTGTAAGGAGTGCCCCCTAGTCTTCTCCTCGCTGAATTTCCTCAAGCTCCACATGCGGAGGAAGCACAACGCTCTGAAGGAGGACTTCCGTCTTAAGTGCAGGATATGCAACCTCTCCTACGACAAGATCGAAAGCCTGAAGCGGCACATCCGACGGAAGCACGACAGGGGCTCGTTCTGCGAGGTGTGCAACAAGCAGTTCGACACCAGGGAGCTGTACTTGAACCATTCGCACGTGAAAGTGATCAAGGAGTGCACGGTGTGCGGTCTTATATTCGCCTCGCAGGGCGGCCTCGGCAAGCACCTTCGCACCACCCACAAGATCGACGCGCCCAAGACCGTGTTCTGCAACCTGTGCAACGAGGGCTTCTACGACAAGAGGCAGCTGAAGCCGCACCTAATGAAGGTCCACCTCAAAGTGTCCTACACCTGCCGCCACTGCATGAAGGTGTTCAAGGCGAGGGAGAGCTACCGGCGGCACGTGCTGTTCAAACACCCGTCCGGCGCCGCCAGCCAGGGCCAGATGCAGAAGTGCGAGCACTGCCCGCAGACGTTCCCCGACGAGGTGGAGCTGTGCCGCCACATCAGCGTCGCCCACGCGAAGCCGGCCGACGGCCAGCCCATGGAGCTGGTCGTGGTCAAACAGGAGGAGCCCGACTACAAGTTCCAGTGCTCCAAGTGCCCGGACTCGTGCGCCACCTGGGACGAGCTGCGGGCGCACTACGAGCGCAACCACCAAATAGTCGAGTACACCCAGTGCCAGGTCTGCGGCGAGGTGCTGCCCGGCAACGAGCTGCAGAAGCACATGAAGGGGCACGCGGATACCGAGCTCCAGTGCAAATACTGCGATTTCAAAACGCGCACGCGCGCGAGCATGACGCAGCACACGCTCAGGCACAAGAACGCCACGACGCTCCGCTGCGACTTCAACGGCTGCAAGTACAAGAGCTTCTACGAGGGGGCGATGCTCAAGCACAAGAAGCGGCACAGCGAGCAGGGGCTGAAGCTCCAGTGTCCCCAATGCCCCTTCCGCACGATGAACAAGTACATACTGAAGTACCACCAGGAAGCGCACGCGACCGGCAAGAAGCGGTACACGTGCGACCAGTGCGACTACGCGACGACGCTGCCCGCCAACCTGGTGCAGCACAGGTACAAGCACTCGACGGAGAAGCGGTTCAAGTGCGAGGTGTGCCCCTTCGCCACGAAGTACAACACCTCGCTGAGGTTCCACGTGAAGAAGAAGCACTGCGACCTGCCGACCATCAGCTCCGGTTGATGTGCCGCGATTAAAGGCTTACGCTGTTGCACACTAGTTTCATTCGCGGTTGGAGGGGGCGGGCGGACGGTTCTCCTGATGTGCACCAATGCCAATGGACGTCTTCAACTCTGGATTACAGTGCCAACGCCTCTGAAAGGGCCGGCCGCTTATCGCCTCCCTTGTGGGACGAATCGCAAGAGTATAAAAATTTTCACTTTACCCCGGTCTCCTACATTAGTATTACATAGTATTAATGCAGTAGCTGTTTAGCGGCTAAACCGCAAGAAATTATAAACTATACTGCTACTCGTATAAAATGGTCGTGATGTTGGCCGGTAGCGGAAAAGTGTAATAGCATATATTATTTTAGCTTTTTAACTGATAGAGGTTGTAGAGAATGGAGATCCCAAACTAAAAGTAAAGTCTACTAGATTAATTGGACCCTGGAAGCTTTTTAAAACTTTGCTGGTCATGGATAAATTAATGGGAGCGATCGAGTTGTGTTTTTCGATGAAAGTTCACTTACACTTAAAATATTATTGATTTTCTTCTAAATTTATTCAAATTCAAATTTTCAGGGTTATTTGTTTTCAAAGATATATAACATGGAATTTGTTCGAATATTCATATGAAAGAAGATTTTATTGAAAATAATGTTTATTTAATGAGAGTTGTACCTTGGTTTTCTTCAATTCTTTGATAAATAGCATCCTTCGTCCGTGGGACTACACAAGGGAATTCTGTTTATACTGTAGTGAAATACTAATTTAATGTCTATTTTTTTTCTCCACGTTAAATGATAAAAAATGCAATAAACATGCTATTTGAATTTATCACTTTTGTGTTCAAGTAAAACAGAGAGAGTTTTTTATCATTAATTATTTTATTCAGCAGTTAATCAATCACCTGAATACGTCGAGAAAATGTTTAAAGAAATTTGATTTTAAAGACAGTTGTTTATTTAATGACAGATCGAGATCAAGTATTTTAATTGTTAAGAAGATAAAGTTAAAGTTGGTTGGGAACAATATTGGAAGTAAAGAAAGTATGTACTATTTAAAACTTTAAAATTCAATAGTTTATGAATATATTTCGGTTAGTTTAAAGGAAACATTTACTAATGATAACCTGTTTTAATTACATAATTCTCGGTTAATGTGATATCACGTGCGTAATTTAGCAACACATTCGCTTGGGTTGAAGCTACACCAAGCCGGCCATATTGGTTGTACTTTAATCCCGCGTAATAACATTCGCCATCTGAAATTACGAAATTAAATAAATAATAAGTAAGCAGAAAGTTAAACAATCAATTGTTAAGTTACAATCGTGGATGTTCGTAGAATCGTCTAAGCGCCTTTCTTTTAAATTAACGTCGATAAACATTGTTGTGTTTTATTGCTATTACAAAAATCCAGGCGTTATAATTATATACGCAAGGCTTCTTTAGTTTTTAGGGTTCCGTACCCAAACGGTAAAACGGGACCCTATTACTAAGACTCCGCTGTCTATCTGTCTGTCACCAGGCTGTATCTCATGAACCGTGATAGATATACAGTTGAAATTTTCACAGATGTATTTCTGTTGCCGCTATAACAACAAATACTAAAAGCAGAGTAAAAAAATATTTAAGTGGGGCTTCCATACAACAGACATGATGTTTTTTGCCGTTTATATAGATAATGGTACGGAACCCTTCGTGCGCGAGTCCGATTTGCACTTGGCCGGTTGTTTTATAATACGATTATTGGTTCCCTACATTCACTTTTGTGGTTGGTTCCCGATAAAAATGTAAGCTCGGGGAAAGGGAGCAACAAAATGATACTTTTGCAAAAAGTATCCAGTTTTAGCTATGATTCCCTATATACATCCGCGCTTTTGTGGCAAACGATTACCGCCATGTATAGACTTCTGCAACGTTGTAGACGGCTTGTAGATTGCTTGCTATATTATAATAATAATACTTATAGATTCATGTAACTTTCACCTTTGCGTATCCAAACGCACGTACACGTAACGGTTGGCTGTCGAGTTGGCGTTCGTATCAGACCACAGCCTTTCAGCGACCGCGGCTGCCCGCGGCCACAGAGTATAGTCAAGATTCCCTGTAATAGGAAATTATTAACCTTCTTAACTATTAACCTAAACTATAAACCTCTTCTAAATTATTAACCACCAACACCTTCTGTGAGTTTATGTGCGCCTGGTACTTAGAATTTTCGGTTTTGCGAATGACAGCCTTTACACCTGTCACGTATGGGGGGGTTCAATAATAATAATAATAATAATAATAAGCAATGTTTTGATTTGATGACAAGATTGGCAAAGTGAACAGAGAACCGGGAGAACCGAGAGTCGAGTGTAATGATTCGATTCACAATAGTTTTTAGTGTCTGGGTTTTTTAGTTATACATATAACTAGCTGAATCTGACCACGCTTCGCTGTGGCTTTTTTTTCGTTTCCGTTGGAACTCTTCAATAGCTATGTTGCGAACAAATATCAATTCAATCCATCGGCTGATTTTTTTGATTTGTGGACACAAACATTACGGAAGCTAAACTTTTATATATAAAGACTAGCGGACCCGATATGTTGTCCTGTACACACGTTTTAAATCCGACAAAAGATATATACAGTTAAAATATCATTTTCTAGTTGACCCAATTGTGGATCAAAATCATTCTCGAATCCACTTGAACACACAAAGTTTCATCAAAATCGGTCAAGTCGTAAGTTCAGTCACATACACATGCACAGAAGAATTATATATAAAGACATGCATTTATTTCGAATAAACATTGTGTAAAAAAGTCTAGAAAAAAAACCCGAAATAAAAGTGTAGTATGGATTGCCAAGAACGCCTTTTGTATGTTTTGTATGATTCATGTATTACATTACATTACTCGTACCTACCCGCACCGACCAAGTCCGTCCAGAGTATCGCCTCGCCACCTTCTATGGTGAACACCTCGACGTTGCGCCAAGACTTCCACGAGTACATCTCCTGCCAGCTCCTAGAAATGCTATACTGACAAAATGGTAGTGCAAAACTATTTTCAATAACAATTCAAAATTAAAAGCATATCAAAATGACGTCGATTTTGGTGACAACTGGTGACCTCAAGTAATAGCCTCAGCTGATACATGTGAGTAAGATAGCCGAGGCCCACTTTATTAAAAGTTAGCAACGTATCGGCAAAACTACAGGGGTTACAAATATCAATGGGCCGTTATCACTTAACATCAGGTGCTCGTTTGCCAATTTATTTACCCCGTGTAAAATACATGACCTTCTTACCTGAACTTAACACATCTGTGTTTGCTTATCTCACAGGACAGGTCCCAATTCGTCGAATGTATCACCCTGAACTTGCCGAGATACTGCTCGCCGGGGTTGGGCTCCCATTGGTTCAGCTGCACCCCCAGCCTCTCCCAGGTCCTCGCTTCCGAGTCCTTCATCAGGTGCGGCGTGTACCAAATGATCGGCAACTTCGGCACGAAACCCCTGTTCGCGAGCTTGAGTCGCTCCAAAGCCTTGTCGAGGAAGCCGTCCCTGTCGCTTATCAGCTGGTAACAGTTCGTCATCGAGAACATTCCATCGCTGAGGTGGAAGATGTCGTCCACCCCGGTCATCTGCAGGATCTCCGTGTATATCACTTGCAACGTGTCGAAGACCGACTTCTCCATCAGTAGACGTGTGCAGAGGACGTTGTCGCACGTGTAATTGTCCGTCTTCATCGGGCATGTGGCTTGCGCTGACCAGGACCATGGTCTGCCGACGGGCCCCGGGGCGGTCACTTCGATTAAGACCCGGATCCCGCGTAGTCCAGCCTTCCTCACGATGTTCTTAACGTCGTCCTTCGTGTATATCATCGATCTGTCGTACGCCCCGTATTCAGAGAGCAGAGGCAGTTTGGTGAGGTACAACGGGAAGCTGGTATCGCTGGAGATCCTCCAGTGTAACGTGTTGAGCTTGCAAGCGGCCATTGCGTCCAAAGTCCTAGTGATGTCGGACACTGTTATGAAGTTCCTTCCGGTGTCTATCATCAGCCCCCTGTATCTGTAGCTCGGGGCGTCTTTTATCGTGATCTCCGATAAAGACAGTAGGTAGCCGGTCGCTTGGTCCAGCAGGATCAACTGGCTCGCGGTCTCCAGCCCGTGTCTCACCCCGCAGAACGATCCGCTGATCACTTTCATGATGACTCTGTCGTCTATCGTCTCGAAGTTCAGCATGTACGCCTCCTCTGTGTTCAGCCTCAATCTAGGGTCCGGGTCGTTCTCTACCTCGATGTGGACACTGATCCGTTTGAGCGGCAAATCTATCTTCTCCGATTCGTTCTTCTTCTTCTTGTCTATCTTCTCCAAACGGAAGAGCCCTTTCAGGAACAGCTTGAACGCCTCCGCCAGGTAGCTGTGGACGATCTCCGAGGGCACCGATTGGAACTTATACTCCAGGTTGGTCGTGGTGAGGGCCACAAGTGTTTGGCTGTAGTGCGTGTAGCCTATCGGATAAGGCCAAAGTTGGGGCCCCATGCACAGGAGCGTGCAGCGGCTTAGAGAGCTGTACAGCGTGGCGTTTTTACCCACGTGCGCCTTCGTGCAGAACTGGTCGCTGCATTGCCATTGCCACTCCACGCCGGCCGATCTGAAACTTGAGGTGCAAAGGAGATGTTTTATTTTTGCATTGGACTCTGGCCATGACTTGTACTCTTTAGGTAGCTTTCGAAATGAAGCCATAAATAGAATACTTACACATAAATTTAAAGTATTTAAAAAGCTTAGAATTAAAATTTGATAATCTTTGACGTGTGTTTGAGAATTATGACAGTTTGATTGATTAGATGATGACTGACTTTTAAAAAATGAACGATGAGTGATTGTTTGTTTCGCATTACACTCATATAAAGTAAAAAAGTAAACTAAAGTAACAGCCTATACGTATCCCACCCCAGGGCAAAGGCCTCTGTACAGAGGGTATCAGGCCATGGTCCACCACGCGACCCACTGCGGATTGGCGGACTTCACATATCTTAGATTCGAATTATGATTAGTCTAAATTAACGTTATATAGCGATTCTGGATTGTGTTTTGATTTCCGAACGTATATGCGGACGTGCAGTAAACAAAGACGTCAGCCATTTTAAAGTAACTGAATAATCGAAAAAAATGTTTTTAATTAAAGCTTTGTTTAATTACATTCTAAATCACAACACAATATTTTTCCACGTCTTCTGATATTTTTCTCATCGTTGGGTCATCGATCGTCGTGATTGGGACAGTTCAAAGCTGAAAATTAAACATACCCTTTATTTTAGGAACACTTGCTTTAATGTAATTACCCCACGAACGAATTGTCTCTTGTTTCATTCTCAGTATTTTGCTCAGATGTTGTGCGCTTTGTCAATCGTCGAATTGCCCTTAGCAGTTCTAGTTCTAAAAATGCGTGAAATGCAAGCTCCGTTTCGCACTAGCGTCGAGCTAATTTAATACAGTGAGGTCAACTCAAGGCTGTGTCTGCGGCGTGACGTCTCACTGACGTGTAAGGCTAAAATTCAAAATAATAACGCTTTTTGCCAATCGCAAATGTCTCATACACCTCTCTCGTCGCTCGGTATTCCCGCTCGGAAAGATTCTGACGGGCCGCCATTTTTTTAAATTATAAGAACCATGTTATTCCAAACAGACCTTTTTGTTTTTTTTTTACCAGTTGTTTTGTTCACGATATTTTAGTTGTGATATTTAAATAAACTTTATTTAACTAGATAATGCGTTATATTAAAACTTTCAATGTAATAAATACCTTTTTTCTAGTGTTAGTGTCGTTTTTTAAACGTAGAATAAGGTGAAAGATAAAATTTTTGAAAAGATTTTTATCTTGTCACGCCAAAGAAGTGACGCTAACGAGTGTATATAAATACACACACTTTTTTCATTTAATTATACTTTATACACACAAAATTTTTACAGAGGCGGACTGAATGCCATCAGTATTATCTACCAGTCAATGTTTGGGTGGTTAAGAGAAGTTTAAGTAGACCTAAATCCAGATTGGAATGGACTTCAAAGGTTATTAGTAAACACAAAGTAAGATAGTTGTTTAAGGACGCAGGACCCAAGTATCTTGGAAAGAAAGGGTAGAATACAAATAGGTATATAATGGGCAGGAAGTGAAGGATTGGGGCAACCAGCAGTCGTGTGAATCGTTCTCTTTGAAAAGCAATTAATCGAATAATCTTGCCGAGCGCAAAGTTAAATAAAAGTTAAATAAAAGATGAGGTTAGCAGCTCAGCATTATACTGTGCTGCTAACCTAATTTATCGGAATAGGGTGTACAATATTTTTTGTTTGTTAAAATTATTTTTCATTTGTTTTACTGTATTATTTATATATATTTATATTTATATATATATATATATATATATATATATATATTAATATAATATATATATATATATATATATATATATATATATATATAAACGGTGGTAGGGCCACGCAGCAGCCTCGGCTGTTGCACGAATGGACAGGCTTGGCCGGGTAAGTACGTGGTACTTACCCGGACGGGCCTGCCCATTCGTGCAGAAGACCGGCGTAAAGTGGAAGTATGATAAATTCTTTTGCGTTTCGTCTGGTGAGTGAGGTAGCCGGAGCCCAATTTTCAAAACGTTGTCAACGCATCTGCAACTCTCGGGTGTAGCGGATGTCTATGGGCGGCGGTATTCACTTAACATCGGGTGAACCGTCTGCTAGTTTGGCAACTTTTCACATAAAAAAAATAATTTTAGTTAATTTTAGTTTTTTTTCTCTTCTTATTGTGTGCGTCCATTTTTTGGTAAATAAATGTATTTTCTTTCTTTCAAATTTGTGCCCGCTAAGGAGGTCACTATGTTTCATTTACGAAAAATGATAACGCGGTTAGTTGCACTTTCAATTGTGACTGTTTTTGCTCGTTTTTGGGTCTGATACCCCTTACCTATATGTGATGAGTGATAATTTATTACAACGGTTTTTAGTGTCGTTTTGATTTATCGGTTTTTATATCGTGTCAATGTTGAATTCCACCCAAACTACAACGTGAACTGTGAACGCGCTTTCGTGTTATTGTTTGTATATAATATATATATTTATGTGAGAATGTGGCAAGCGAGCTGGCGGTCAACACGATGGTAAGTGATAATCGCCGCCCACGGACAATTGCAACACCAACATTTGCAGATGCTTTGCCTTTAAAGCTTGCTTGCTTTTAGAGTGGAATTTGGTTACCTCGCTCACCAGATGAAACGCAGAAAAACGACACTACCACTTCACCCCGGTCTTACGAGGTTTTGGTACTTAGCCGGACGGACCTGTCCATTCGTGCAAGAGAGAAAACCGTTGCTTAGCCCTAACACTGATGCAAAGGCAACAACAATCCCTTTTCTACGTGTGTCAAAATTTAATCATTAATAAAAATGATGGCATATATAAAGTTCACGATATCCGAGTTAGACGCACGCATGAGCACATGCGCGGCCCTACCCACAGCGGAGGGCCCAAACCCGTGGGTTCTGGCTAGCCCACCGGTTCTGCGTCAGATGAAGCTTTAATAGTCTCGGGACTGAAAGCAAAAACATCAGTTAATACAAGATACAGGATAATTATCTTACTCGTTAAAATCCATCAAGCTAAATCGCTTGATTATAGAGCCTGCTAATGAAATAGACATTTATATATGCTCGAAAACACTTAAACTCTCTCTTAATATCTCTCTATCTCTCTCTCGCAATTTCTCTCTTTTCCTCTCTGCTCCCGTTTATTTAAGAACTCCTTACCCAGTACGATTGACCAGTCTCTTGAGCTTCGTGGATTCGTCCATTCTCTCCCCGCTGTCACTCTGCTCGCTCCAGTCCCACAGGGAGAGGCTACAGAGCAGCACGATCACAACAGCGAGGAATATCATACCGACGAGCGCGCAGTACATCTTCCAGTCGCAGCCTCGGACCAGCTCGGCGGTAAAGCTATCCCTGGGAAATGAGCAGCGATTCGTCTAAATATCGAGATGACATTATAAAAAAACCGCTATTTATTTGACCATGAAACTGCACAAATACTTAACGTATTCTTTGAATAGTATTGGATAAACAGATTAAAATGGTACGCAACATTTGAGAGATGAAAAGAAACTCATCTTCACCATCTTCCCATCATTAGCATCAAAAATTTCAAAGGCGAATTATATACTTGGCTTATTCCAAAAATGTATTATAATATAAATGATTACTTAAATGAAGAATAATAATAATATATTTTATAAAAAAAAATATTTTGGTATTGTAGTATGTCTAAAACGAGCTTATGTCTATATAATTGTAATAGTTAATTGTAACTTATAGCTAACTTATTAACTAACAAATCTTATAGCTAGTACCTAATAGCTATAAAATTTACACGTTCTTAAGCATAATATGTGATACTCTAACTATATTAACATCTTATTGTAAACCATATCCTTGCAAATAAAGAATTTTTATTATTATTGCCCTTATGCCCACCTACATGGGGACGGCCCAACATGTGAATCATGCTGTAATTGATTTTGGCTAGGTTTTTTACGACCGGCCGCCTGTCTGACAACCCTCCTTGGGTAACGAACACCCAGATCCGGAACAATCATCTGTGGGTCACACAAATACTTGTCCTGTGTGGGAATCTAACCCACGGCACCCGACGCCGAAGCCGATAGCTTAGCAACGGCGCCACCGAGGGTGATGAAAAGAAACCACAATTGAAAAACGTTAGAAAGGTTTGTGACTGTATTAAACACATTTCTTGTAGTGAAGTTTATGACTTTAAAGAAATAAATAAACATTGCGCACATAGGGAAGAAAATTTTCTGTTATTCTACAACCTTTTCTTTCCTATTGTTACGAAAAGAAACATACTAATAACTACAAATTAATTTTACCCGTTGCGTGGCCTTATCACAGTTAAATAAACGTTAAAAAATAAGAGTTAGCGTCGGATGGAATGAGATTACCATCGTGCGTGGATAAGAGTAACACTTCTACTTCTAGTAAGGCCGGTCTCTTCCACCACAGGTTATAGGTGGAGTCGCTTACTTGCTTGCGAGATCGTAATCCGGTTCAGGTGTGTCGCAATCCTCCATAGAGTATCCAGGGTCCCCGCAAGATGGACCAATCGATGAACATTTTGTGCACGTACAGTTCGGTTGGCACGGTGTGCCTGTTGAGAAAGAATTATACAACAACTTTTGTGCCACGCAGCAGCTTCTTCTGTCGCAAGAATGGGAAGAGTATGGGAAGTACCATCTGGTGAGTGAGGTAGACGGGGCCCACTTTTTAAGGCTTTCAGCGCATGTACAAGCCTTCAGGTGTAGCAGATGCCCATATAATTATTATGCCACGGTATTAACTTAATATCGGGTGTACCGTAAGTAACGTACACGTGAGATGAACCCATAAAGTACACATTTACTTTATGGGTTCATCTCACGTGTACACATTTCACAATGGTCAAAAAATTATTTGAATACAACAAATTATAGATTCTAAATCATAGATCGTAATAGTAGTAACGAGTCTTTAAAAATCAGTTGTTGCCGTTCTATTTCTTTGCACGACCTCAAAGTCGAAGACGGACTGTAGAGGAGCTGAGCTGTTTTGTAGCTAAGATTGTAGTGGCGTTTTGTGCTACTACTCATATATCAGGTCTTTGCAGTCCGGTATACTTTCGTCCATAAACGAGTTAAACTATACGCATTCTAAAATACTGGTGGAAACTTACATGAGTCGTCGAGCACATCCATTTCTAAATCTTGTTCCTCGTCATCGTCGGTACAAAAAGTCACACTGGGACGTTTACGGAACATTTGGTCCATGTTGTTGTCTTGTTGGTCAACGAGTTTCTTTTGCGGTATGTAGGGTTCGAACACCAATGCGTCGTCTTTGTTCACCAACGGAGAAGAAGTAGAGCGCGAGGTTTTCCCCAAAGATTCCCTTTTCGACGTTCCAGTTTTCAAATCAATGGTGGATGTCGATTTTCTTTGAAAAAGCCTCTTTGTGTCGGATCGGTCTTTCGTTGCTGGGATGCCCGTGATTTCTTTGTCGGGCGTCAGCAAGAGTTTCCTTTCATCAGATTTCTGTTTGGGACGCTCTTTATCCGATGCCCCAAAGGTCTCGTTATACGCATCTACAATGAAATGAACAATTAACAATGGCGTGAGTAGAAGATATTCAAATGTTCACTGTGTAATCTATGTATTATCTGAGGGAACTTTGTACATCTGCAAGCAGTAGCTTCTGCTGTTGCACAAATGGGCTCAATCGTCCAAGGAAGAACCACGACCACAAAGAATACCAGCGTAAAGTAATATTTCCAATATTATAATATCTCTGCGATTGGTCTTGTGAGTCAGGTAAGGTGCCTACTTTTTTAGTGTTTGGCAACGCATCAGCGACTTACGAGTATTACTACTGTATGTCAACCACCTGCTTGCTTGCCAACTTTTCACAAATGTCACACAGGTCAGGTAGAGATTATGAAATGTTGTGTATTGTAATCAAATAATCATAGTAAAGATTATAAAACATTGTGCGTTAACTGCGATGATTGAAATTCAAAATTAAACGGGGGAACGTTTTAGATTGGTCAGAAAGGGGACGAACAAAATGTTGAAGCTGAAAGGCGTAATGGATTAGTGTTGTACCTTTGATTGCTGACAATATGTTCATAGTTTTCATCTCCATCGTTCTTAATTTCTCGCACACTTTCGTTATCATCTGAATTTTGACTTTGTCTAAGTCCCTACGGATGCCCGATGCTATGGCGCCGGATTTGTCTCTGATGCAGCAATAGTATAGCAGAGCGGTCATAGCGATGTACAAATTTTTCGACCTGTCACTCCCTTCTGTTATATTCCTGAGAAATAGTCATTTTTAACGAGTTTACAGGATAGCACAACTCTTTTTGGACCCTAGGGACCTCTTTCCAACGATGATTGGAAAATTCTACCCAGCTAAGATCAGTAGTTATTCTAAGCACAAGCAGCACAGAAGAAGGAACCACCAACTCACAGAAGGTCACCATAGAAAAACATTTATTAATTTGCGGCAACAGTTTGCTCATCCTTTTAAAGGTCTCTTTAACGATTTATAAGAATATCTACGGGTGTTGCTGAACTTTAAGAAGTTAATTACCATCAAGGCATCAAAGGTGCTATTCAATTTTGTTTCTGATGACTTATAAATTTAATTATTAATTTAATTATTTTTTTGTTATCATTACCAAAATATGTGCGTTTCCTCACGATTTTCTTCTTCATCGCTGAGAAGTGATAAGACATATGTACTATACATTATTGAACACATATTTGAACAAACATCTAGCTACCTTAGTTATTTTATGTTAGAATATGACTACCTTAATGCTAACATGGGGTAGTGCCGCCTCAAAAACGTTTCAATCCCGGAATAGCTAATGCCAGCCTCGCAGGATTCCGCGTACAGTTCCTTGTTATATTTCTTGATGACTTCCGAGAAACATTCTGCGTTGAGTTCGCTGAACATCATACCGGGTGTAACGCATTTATTGATCTAGGTGAAGAAAGATTGCCGATAAGAGCCTATATTGTATTTAGATTAAGGCAAGTTTTAATCACAAAGGAAAAGAGCACACGTTATGAAAAATAGCTCTTTAGTTGTTTAATATACATTCTATTAAATTACGAACTGAAAGATTGTATATGTGTTGTTATTTTCATCAAAGCAGGGTCGGTAGAAATTTATTTTTGAACTACAGCGTATCTTTATAATTTATAAGGACTCAAATATGGCACTCTACAGCGTTACCATATTTATTACCAAGCGTTTGATTAAAATAATCTCGATACATCATAAGTAAGTACTAATAGGTAAGGTAATAAGAGTTACCATAGGTTTCTCTCTCAAAATAAGATTATTTTATCTGAAATTTTAGCCTTACACGTTATTAAATAGAATTACCTATGCGTTGCCCTATATACCTTAAGGAAACAATGATGACATTCATGAAGTTGAGAAATTTGCCGCCTTTTGTAAGCTATCGTGAAGTTAAATAGCAATGATGTTAAATATTATAGATGACGCATGTCCATACTGCGTGGCGTTCAAAATTGTTCCACTTTACATTACATGGCATACATTACATTTTATAAAAGTTAACTATCTGTGGGCCACACAAATCGTTGTGCTGGGTGAGCATCGGACCCACGACCCCCGACGCCATAGCCAATACCTCGGCAACTGCGGCACGGAGTCATCGAAATTTTATTATATATACTTTATTGAACACCAAAAAAACATAAAAGGAAATGTTACAGAACTATAAACTTAAGAGATATAAACAATAAGGCGGTATTATCGCTAAGGAGCGATCTCTTCCAGACAACCTTGTGGTTAAAAATATTTCTCATTTCTAATTTTCTCTAATTACACCAATTGGTGTAACTAAAGCGCCTCAATTTCGGTGCGCTATAGTGTCATATTTATATATCACTATTAATAAAAATATCAAAAGCAAACCCAATCGAGCAACACGCGTGTCCACGTTTTTTCTATTAATTCATTTCTGTCCCAGCAATGTTCCCCCTCGAACAACATTATTCGATTGGATTAATTCCGCTTTATAATTCTAGGATATTTTCTCCACTTCTAGAGTATTAACTACAAACGAAAATGTCATTATGACAAATGGATTGATACTTATTTTTTTTTTTTTTATAATAAGTTAAGAAGGCTAACAAACATACGGTCTTATTTCGATCGATAATTCGTTTTTTAAAAGAAACTATCCCGCATTCGGAATAATCTCTTTGTACCATAGCTCTTTAGAAACGTTTAACCATAAACACAAACTATATCCAGACTGTTTTTAGCTCACGAAAATTTTTGTCCTGTGTTGATTAGATCCACAACATTGCGTCATTCCGCTTCGTGCTCTCGTACGGAACGGACGTCTCTCTAAGACGGAGGGCACATGCCACCCGAATTAGACGCTAATCGCAACCTCGGCTGCAATTTATCTTGTGTAAATAGTGCAGTAGTTTAGTGTTAGTGTAGTGATGTGCTCGTAGGCAGGTTCCTGTTTTGTAAGTAGAATTCTACACATCTTCTCGCCTCAGAGGCTGACATTGTTTCATTTATTAACTGTGTGCTTGTTGCAATAGGCGACAGCTAGGTACCCACCCTAGCGCACCAAAAGCGCAGGCAAATTAGCTGTCATTTTTAGGCACACTCCTCCCTGCCGCAAGGTGGGGAGGCTTATTTAGCTCACACACGCCGGTGGGGCTACAAGCCCCAAAGGCACTTACGTCGCGATGGGCTCCCTTTTCGAGGAGTTCGTACGCAAAGAGTACGCTATGTGGGAACGTTTTCTTGCCTATGAGGCCGAGCATAGGCAAGTAGTTGAACTCGTGTCACCGCCATCGCCCGCGCCCTCTGCGCCCGTTACCCCGTCGCCTTCCGCGACCTTAGAAGCCCCCGTCGCATCGGCACCCGTTGCCACGAACTCGCCCGTCGCGCCTTCCGCGCAACCAAACCCGACCTCTTTTCGCTCCGTCGTACCCGACTCACAATCGGACGGCGGATCGGACATGGAGGTCGAAACGACCCCCGCTGAAAACGCGAACGCCGACGGCTTCACCGTCGTTAAATCGCGTAAAAAGGGCAAGAAACGCCCCGCTACCGACAGCGACCCCGAATGCGAGGCCGCCTCAACGACCCGTCCCACCGCGACGCCCGCTAAAAAGGTGGCCGCGGCGATTAAACCGATGCCCGAATTCGCCTCCGAGCGAAAAATAAAGCCTGCTCCACCCATCATCATTCAGGAGAAGGCTAAGTGGCACCAAATTTGTTCGTGGTTTGAACGCCACAATATCCGCGACCCTCGGTCGAAAAACACGCATATGGGTATCCGTGTATACCTTGACACTACGGACGACTTCCACCGCGTAACGAAGTATTTGCGCGAAAACAAGATAGGTTTCCACACCTACTCGTTGCCCGAAGAAAGAAAACTTCGGGTAGTAATCAAGGGCATCCCCAAAGGGTCGGATGTCGACAAGGCGAAGACCGACATCCGCACTCAGGGATACCCTGTGCATGCCGTACGACGCCTCATCCACCCCAGAACCCGTGTCCCTATGGACATGGTGATGGTTGAACTTGACCCTACCCCGGAAGGTAAGGCCATCTTCAACCTGAAGAGGGTCTGTGGGCTCAGCGACCTCGTGATCGAGCCCCCGCGTAGGTCAGGAGTTGTGGCGCAGTGCCACAACTGCCAGCATTATGGCCACACGGCTAATAATTGCTTCGCTCACCCTAGGTGCGTCAAATGCACCGGTGACCACGGCACGCCCGACTGTACGCGGCCGAAAGATTGCGCAGATCCACCGGACTGCATCAATTGTCATACCACCGGCCACCCGGCTAGCTACAGGGGCTGCACTAAGGCCCCTAAAACTCCCGCGAGAAAAGCTCCCGCGAAATAAACGTAATCCGCGCCCGCGAAATTCATTCCCGCACCCGTCGTAAACGCCTGGGCGAAACCCCAGGTAGTCGCGCAGGTAGTTGCGCCACAGGTCGCCTCACGACCAACGTTAGCCCAATCGCAGCCCGCCGTTCAACAGGCGCCGAGGCCACAGGTGCAGTCAACACCACCGGTATTCACCGGAAACAATGACGACCCGCTCGACCAAATTGCAAGCATCTGCGGCTTATTAGACCGCATAAATAGACAAGAGCTCGCCGTATTGTCCAATAAATTATCAGCCGCCACATCTGGCCTCGAACGTCTCACAGCTATTCGCGACCATAAAACACTTTTAGACGCCTTATGGGTGTTTACAAGCCAGCCGTAAATTTTATAATCCGCGCAATAAAACCGCGCTCCGCCGCGTCGTTAATTAGAAACTATAAAAAACTTTTATGGAAAGTACAACCGCAGGTAGATCAAAACCTCTGGCTCTGGTTGTTTCGTATTTCAACGCAAATGGCATTAAGGGTCAAAGGGACGAAATCTCGGAATTCCTCCGCGATTATAATGTAGATATTTTTCTAGTGCAAGAGACATTCTTAAAACCTAGCGTACGCGATCCCAGAATCGCAAACTACAACATAGTCCGCCACGATCGGTTAGCAAACCGTCTGGGAGGCACTCTAATTTATTATAAACGGTCCTTGCACTGCAGCCCGCACGACATTCCAGAGCTAAGTCATATAGAGGCATCCGCGTGTAGATTAGCGCTCACCGGCCATAGGCCGCTTGTACTAGTCTCAGCCTACCTCTCGGGGAACAAAACCTTATTACAAAGCGACCTAGTTACGCTTCTCAACTTAGGCCCTTCCGTGATAATTGCAGGAGATCTAAACTGCAAACACGGTTCATGGGACATCCACAGCATCCCAAATAACAACGGAAAGCATCTCTTTAGCTTATCCGATAATTTAAACTTTAGCATAATCGCTCCTGCGACTCCCAGTAGGTTTCCTACGGTGGACAACTACCAACACGCGACACCGAGTATCCTAGATATCATGTTATTAAAGGAGGTCTCGCTCGACATCGAGTCGATAGAGACAATCCATGAACTAGATTCAGATCACAGGCCCGTCCTGTGCAAACTGGGCCAGAACGCCGGCGCGGTCCCTCCGACCAAATCCGTAGTGGACTGGCATCGTCTTGAAGTCAAACTCAAGGCCTTGGACCCCCAGGACTTAGTCGACCTACCCGAGACGATAGCTACGTTCGGTGACGCAAATCGAGCGATAGCAAGTCTCCGAAAAACCATCACTTCCGCCGTCGCAGACTCGGAACGGACGGTGAAACTGTCGAGCGACCGACGGTTTAACTTTCCGCCCGACCTGCGACTGCTAATTAGGCAGAAAAATGAAGCCAAACGCGCATTCGACCGATACCGATCGGAATCGAACCGAACCCTACTTCGACGCCTTCAGCTAGAAGTCAAAGATCGTGTATCGGAACACCGACATACAACGTGGGACACTCTCCTAGAGGACATCGAGCCATCGCACACCGCCTACTGGCGGTTGGCCCGCAGTCTGAAAGCAGACCCCCGCGAATCTCTACCGCCATTAATTAGACCTAACAGCGCTTCAGTAGCCCTAGATGACTCCGAAAAAGCCGAATGCCTTGCGGACAACCTAGAGCAGCAATGTACGCCATCGCGCGAACACACCGATACAGTCCACCTAACGGAGGTGGACCGCGTAATCGAAACTAGGGCTGCGTTTCCACCAGAAGGCGATCCTTTGAATTCAGTGACCCCCGAAGAGGTCCAAGACATTATCAAAAATTTTAAACCCAAATCCGCCCCGGGCCCAGACAATATTAGTAATGAAATTCTTAAAGCTGGGCCGCTTATCTGTTTACTGGCGATCATTTACAAAACCTTACTCTCCAGTTGCTCCTTTCCGGACGACTGGAAAGAAGCCACGGTTATCGGCATTCGCAAACCGAATAAACCAGCCAATCAGCCCTCAAGTTATCGTCCCATCAGCCTCCTCAGTTGCCT